TCACTGTTTTTTTTCTTTTATTCCAAGAAAGAGAAATCTTCTCTTCCAACTGTCCAAAAATGAAGAGAAGTGTTAAAGAATAAAACATGCGTGAACTAAAGCAACTTTGAATATGCATCTATATTAAAATACTACTAACATAAAATAAAAGCAAAAACGATTGTTCAAATGTTTTGAAAGATAAAACCTAATCATTATCTTCATAAGCGTAAAGTGGAAAAAGCTCGTCATCATCGACGTCAGAATGTTCGTAGCGGAAAACACAATTACGATCGTCGTAATCATCGTCGTCGTAGTCATAATCATCGTCGTCGTAGTCATAATCATCGTCGTCGTAGTCATAATCATCGTCGTCGCAGTCATAACCATCGTACTCATCGTCATCGTAGTCGTATTCCTCGTCGTCGTATTCGTACTCGTCGTACTCATATTCATCGTACTCGTTGTACTCGCGTTCTTCTTCTTTTTCGTCGTTGTTGTCATCGTCGTAGCCGTCGTCGTACTCCTCTTGTTCTTCTTCTGTGTCATGATCATTATCGACATCCTCTGATAAAACCGGTGTGATTGGTACGACCTAGAATAAATTAAATACACTTTCATGCACATGTTTCATCAGATTCTTTTTTTAAGTGTCGTACACTGATGTCGCATTGAAGCACATCACATTCTGGCACCCAGACGTCGGGGAACACTGGTGGCCAGTGTAGTTCATATCGGCCAGGTTCCTCACCCTCCATGTCTATAGAAGAATTATATTCATCAAAATTGCTTAAGTATAAATAAGTATAAATATTTTTCTTACAATGAGCCACTGTATGTGTGGTTCTATAGATTGTTTGGCCTTTCCAAAACCCGATAAGATATAAAGCACCTGTACTTCCATGGCCATCATCAATTTCGGCTACTCGTATAGGCGATGTACGAATCCGACTTTCGTCCGAAGGTACACCGTATTGTGCAATATTATTGTCGATCATTTTATCGATATAATCTTGCGAATAGTTATCGTTATTGTTACCGGCCATTACTTTTAAAATATTTTTTAGAATTTTTACTGTTTTTGTGAAAAGAATTTATGAAACAGTGATTGATGAAGAGATATGGAGAATGAAATAATTGAGCTTTTTCTCTC